TATCGGTGGGAGGAATAGTGTCCCATCGCTGTATCGGAGGAGGAATAGTGTCCCATCGCTGGTATCGGTGGGAGGAATAGTGTCCCATCGCTGGTATCGGTGGGAGGAATAGTGTCCCATCGCTGGTATCGGTGGGAGGAATAGTGTCCCATCGCTGGTATCGGTGGGAGGAATAGTGTCCCATCGCTGGTATCGGTGGGAGGAATAGTGTCCCATCGCTGGTATCGGTGGGAGGAATAGTGTCCCATCGCTGGTATCGGTGGGAGGAATAGTGTCCCATCGCTGGTATCGGTGGGAGGAATAGTGTCCCATCGCTGGTATCGGTGGGAGGAATAGTGTCCCATCGCTGGTATCGGTGGGAGGAATAGTGTCCCATCGCTGGTATCGGTGGGAGGAATAGTGTCCCATCGCTGGTATCGGTGGAGGAATAGTGTCCCATCGCTGGTATCGGTGGGAGGAATAGTGTCCCATCGCTGGTATCGGTGGGAGGAATAGTGTCCCATCGCTGGTATCGGTGGGAGGAATAGTGTCCCATCGCTGGTATCGGTGGGAGGAATAGTGTCCCATCGCTGGTATCGGTGGGAGGAATAGTGTCCCATCGCTGGTATCGGTGGGAGGAATAGTGTCCCATCGCTGGTATCGGTGGGAGGAATAGTGTCCCATCGGTGGGAGGAATAGTGTCCCATCGGCTGGTATCGGTGGGAGGAATAGTGTCCCATCGCTGGTATCGGTGGAGGAATAGTGTCCCATCGCTGGTATCGGTGGGAGGAATAGTGTCCCATCGCTGGTATCGGTGGGAGGAATAGTGTCCCATCGCTGGTATCGGTGGAGGAATAGTGTCCCATCGCTGGTATCGGTGGGAGGAATAGTGTCCCATCGCTGGTATCGGTGGGAGGAATAGTGTCCCATCGCTGGTATCGGTGGAGGAATAGTGTCCCATCGCTGGTATCGGTGGGAGGAATAGTGTCCCATCTGGTATCGGTGGGAGGAATAGTGTCCCATCGCTGGTATCGGTGGGAGGAATAGTGTCCCATCGCTGGTATCGGTGGGAGGAATAGTGTCCCATCGCTGGTATCGGTGGGAGGAATAGTGTCCCATCGCTGGTATCGGTGGGAGGAATAGTGTCCCATCGCTGGTATCGGTGGGAGGAATAGTGTCCCATCGCTGGTATCGGTGGGAGGAATAGTGTCCCATCGCTGGTATCGGGAAGGAATAGTGTCCCATCGGTGGGAGGAATAGTGTCCCATCGGTGGGAGGAATAGTGTCCCATCGGTGGGAGGAATAGTGTCCCATCGGTGGGAGGAATAGTGTCCCATCGGTGGGAGGAATAGTGTCCCATCGGTGGGAGGAATAGTGTCCCATCGGTGGGAGGAATAGTGTCCCATCGGTGGGAGGAATAGTGTCCCATCGGTGGGAGGAATAGTGTCCCATCGGTGGGAGGAATAGTGTCCCATCGGTGGGAGGAATAGTGTCCCATCGGTGGGAGGAATAGTGTCCCATCGGTGGGAGGAATAGTGTCCCATCGGTGGGAGGAATAGTGTCCCATCGGTGTGGGGGAGGAATAGTGTCCCCGCTGGTATCGGTGGGAGGAATAGTGTCCCATCGCTGGTATCGGTGGGAGGAATAGTGTCCCATCGCTGGTATCGGTGGGAGGAATAGTGTCCCATCGCTGGTATCGGTGGGAGGAATAGTGTCCCATCGCTGGTATCGGTGGGAGGAATAGTGTCCCATCGTTTGTCAAAGGGAGGAATAGTGTCCCATCGTTTGTCAAAGGGAGGAATAGTGTCCCATCGTTTGTCAAAGGGAGGAATAGTGTCCCATCGTTTGTCAAAGGGAGGAATAGTACCCTATCCTCCATGTTCAGTTGGAGGAATAGTGCCTCATCTGTGTCAGTGAGGAGAATAGTGCAGCAAGAGCTGGATTAAGGCTAGGAAAGGGCCACATCCAGCCTGCGGGCCGCAGTTTTGAAACGCCTGGTATAGAGAATGCGGCACTGTGGACAGCAACAGATCAGGAAACTGCAGGGAAATATTTCTGCGGGTGCCTCCAAGCTGTGAGAAGCCAGCAGGTAACTCTGCCTGCCACACTAGCTCTAATAAAATGAAGCTCCTTAAAGAAAAAACTTCACTATTTTTACTAGTAAAGCTACATGGTTAGATTACATTTCTGTGGATTACACAATTCTGATAGTTTTGTTCAGATGTTAAATTCTGCCACCTAGTGGAATCTGCCATTTATGGAATGTCTATCCATACCACCTATATATCTTCTTTTTAGTAGGTACAATGGCTAAGATTTTGTCTCTGATCAGCCAGTAAAGGATGTCTTGGGTCCTTCTGTGAAAAAAGTTCAAAAACAACCTATTTTTATGTTGTAAAATAGCAAGTATATATGAATTTATTGGGCAGGGGCACTAAAGATGATTTGCTTGCCTGAAGGTGCTCATTGGGTTTTGGTGGCCTGTATGTAGCTAGGCTGCCAAAGTCTCTTGCATGTGGTATCCCCATACTCTGGAGAAGTAGCAGAATGTGTTTCTGTAATTGACTAGATTTCTAGTTTTCTACGGGCAATACCCAGCTTTGTTAGAAACCATAGAGAGAAGATAGTCTTTCGTACAAAAAATAGCCACTGCCCCAGTCTATAACTGGCCTTTGCTGCAAGGAGCATATGGAAGGGTGATGCATCTCAAACAACAAAGAAAAATTCCAACTAGCCAGCCTGCATACAAACTGAATTAACCTGTCTAACAGTATGCATTTAAAAGTGGGTTTAGTTAGCACACATTTGCAAATACATGCGTAAGCTTCAGAGCCTCGTCACGGCACCCCTGTATTCTGTAGTTCTGAACTCTCCAATTTTAAGAGCCCCCATAGTAGAGGCACATGTATTGAATGGATAGACCTCAGGGACCTGTAGCTTATGCATTTATTTGAAAATGTGTGCTAACTAAACCCCTGTTTTTAACGCATTCTGTTAGACAGGTTAATTTGGATTGTTTGCAGGCTGGCTGGCAAGTTAGAGCTGGGAATTTTTCTTTTGTTTTCACAAGCAGATATTCTTTCCCCTGCAATGTCCAAATGTGGTGTGATGTAACTTGCACATGTAGTGAATTGGCAGGCTTAGAGGCCTTATCGGTGTTTAAGGGTTAAGTTTTGTAGCAGGCTCTGTCAGCCAACTGTTTCTACTTGTCAAAGGTAAAATGCAGAGCAAGGATATCTGCAGAAGAAACGTGAGGAATTGTGCTTTCTCAGTCATACCTTTGACTGGGCATTTTGTTTTAATAGTGGTGTTCTAAGATGACACTTTATCCCTCGTTCACACTTGGCATCCATGTAACCAGGCAATCTAAAGGCATTTTTGCACGTTTGTGTGTGTCTTGATTTATAAGAACAGTTGTGTGTTTTTGACCCAATAAACTTTTAAGTGGGATTACAAGAAGAGTTTTTGGGGTTTTTTTGTTTGGTTTTTTTCCCCCTCTGCCATTTAAGGCCAGTAGGGTCAATAATGTGCAATTCCCAAAACTTGCACTTCACAAAACAGATGATGCAACACTAAGGTGTAAGCAGGCCTTTTAATAATTGCACGATTCTCCATCCTGAGCATTGTCACACTTCAAGAATATTGAGCCTAACATTGGAAGGAGGCTTAAACCAGGACTTGGGAAAAATTTGCTTTTAATCTAGGAGCCAGCTAAAAGTTAAAAACCAGATATTTGAAAGGGTGAATGAAAAGAGAGGAGACACCAAGACTGGTTCGGGGATTTCAGGGAAATCTCCACCCCCTCTAGACGCATGTGATCAGAGCAAGAGAAACCGTGTGGCACCCCCCCCCCATAGGTATAATACAGGGGGCCCATATAAGATCAGTGAGGCCCCCTGTCAGACGTGCTCAGACAGTGGTCTCCCCTCCCACAGCAGAGTCCCAATCACCTTGGCTGGTGCCTTATTCTTCCGCTCACTGCTGTCTACTATGGAGTCTAGGACCACAGGGTGCCATCAGCCAAACCCATCCCCAAAGCTGCCAGCACTTTCTGCCAGACAGAGGGCAGTGCCAGGGAGAGGGTGGCACTGCAGTGCTTCACACACGGCACTGGCCAGAGAGGACAAGGCTGGAGCACTTCACACAAAGTGCCAGACAGGGATAGGACAGAGGGGAGGAGAAGGCTGCGCCTGCTGCCCTGTGTTATCCATGAGCTGTGATTGGCTGGAGGAGGAGCTAGGAGATTAAGCTGTGGGGATTTCCTTAAGAGCGGCATCCCAGTGCCTGCCAGCAGATGGCTGACAAACATCAGGCACCAGTATGCAATTTCTAGTCACCATGGTGCCTGGGATTTGTTGAGCCCTGGTCTAAACGATCGGTCTGTATTTGCGTAGCACTGTGCCTTTTGTGATTATCCTAGTAGGACAAACATTTTTTGCGGCCATTCTCTAATGGCTAACTTAATGCATCTTTTATTAGAACATCATAAGAACTTGGGGTTATAACTTTGCTAGTGTAGGACCATGTAATTGTTGAATGTCTTTTGTTAGTTTCTAAAATCCATTCCCTTGAACTACACTGAATCGTAGGGCCTATGCTGCTCTGCGCTTTGATTGGTCTGGCAGTCTTCTGGGACCTGTGAAGGTTCCCAGGAGACTGCAGGAGAAAGGAAGGGGCTGAACTGAGCCGGAAGTGGGAGCAGGTACCTGTCAAAACCAGGTACCTGCTCCCCCCCCCCCCCCCCCCCCCAAAGGTGCCCAATATGGAAGTGGAGGGGGGAAGGCAAACAAGTGGAGCTTCCACTTTTGAGTGGAACTTCACTTTAAAGTTCTGCATGAGACAAGGTGTTGGTCACTTTGCTAGCGGGAAAACACTGCATCCCTAACTTCCTTTGCTAACTCCCTCAAGGGACATAATTAAACAGCAAGGGATGCTCTTTAGATCATTAAGCAGTATGTTGATCTACAGTTTGAAATGTACTTATCACTGTTCTGAATCTATTCTTTATCTGGTTTTTGCAGGCCAAGCGGCGGCTGGAACTTGGAGATGGAAGTCAACAGTATCTTTCTGAAGGGCTAAAAACACCAAAAGGCAAGGGAAGGGCAGCTGTGCTTTGTCCAGATAGCCCAAAAAGTAAGCTGTTCTTAAATCTTCAGCTCATTGTAGGTATATTGGTGGTCTATATAGTACTTTAAGCCTAAGCATTGATTTTACGTTTCTGTATTACTCTGATAATCAGTGAATGCCCAGTCACGTACAGTGTTTTGAAAGTATTCATACCCCTTGAAATTTTTCTAATTTTGTCATGTTACAACCAAAATGTAAATGTATTTTATTGGGATTTTATGTGATAGACCAACACAAAGTGGCACATAATTGTGAAGTGGAAGGAAAATGATAAATGGTTTTCAAAATTTTTTTACAAATATCTGAAAAGTGTGGCGTGCATTTGTATTCAACCCCAAGTCAATACTTTGTAGAACCACGTTGCAATTACAGCTGCAAATCTTTTTGGGGATGTCTCTACTAGCTTTGCACATTCTTCTTGCAAAATAGCTCAAGCTCTGTCAGATTGGATGGAGAGCGTCTGTGAACAGCAATTTTCAAGTCTTGTCACAGATTCTCGATTGGATTTGGGTCTGGACTTTGGGCCATTTTTACGAATATGGTTTGATCTAAACCATTCCATTGTAGCTCTGGCTGTATGTTTAGGGTCGTTGTCCTGCTGGAAGGTGACCCTCCACCCCAGTCTCAAGTCTTTTGCAGACTCTACAAGGTTTTCTACTAAGATTGCCCTGTATTTGGCTCCATCCATCAACTCTGACCAGCTTTCCTGTCCCTGCTGAAGAAAAGCATCCAATGTGATGCTGCCACCACCATGTTTCATGGTGGGGATGGTGTGTTCAGGGTGATGTGCAGTGTTAGTTTTCTGCCACATAGTGTTTTTTGCTTTTAGGCCAAAAAGTTCAATTTTTGTCTCATCTGACTAGAGCACCTACTTCCATATGTTTGCTGTGTCCCTCACACGTGGCTTCTCGCAAACTGCAAACGGGACTTCTTATGGCTTTCTTCTTACCATTCTTCAATAAAGGTCAGATTTGTGGAGTGAATGACTAATAGTCATGTGGACAGATTCTCCCACTTGAGCTGTGGATCTGTGCAGCTCCTCCAGAGTTACCATGGGCCTCTTGGCTGTGTCTGATTAATGCTCTCCTTGCTCGACCTCTCAGTTTAGGTGGACGGCCATGTCTTGGTAGGTTTGAGGTTGTGCCATACTCTTTCCATTTTTGGATGATGGATTGAAAAGTGCTCTGTGAGATATTCAAAGCTTGAGATGTTTTTTTTATTTTTTTTTTTTATAACTTTACCTTGCTTTAAATTTCTCCACAACTTTAACCCTGACCTGTTTGGTGTTCCTTGGCCTTCATGATACTGTTTGTTCACTAATGTTCTCTAACAAACTTGAGAGCTTCATAGAACATCTGTGGTTATACTGAGTTTCAATTACACAGATGTGGACTCTATTTACACATTATTTGACTTCTGAAGGCAGTTGATTCCACTAGATTTTAGTTAGGGGTATCAGAGTAAAGTGGTCTGAATACAAATGCATGCCACACTTTTCAGATATTTATTTATAAAATCATTTTCCTTCCACTTCGCAATTATGTGCTGCTTTGTGTTGATTTATCGCATAAAAAATACATTTCTGTTTTTGGTTATAACATGACCTAATGTGGATAATTTCAAGTGGTATGAATACTTTTTCACGGCACTGTAGCTGAAGTGAATAGTACCTTGTCTTTTTTTTTCTCAGGGTGTTCATTTGACACCTAAAATCAGGGCTTGACAAATCCCTGGCGCCAGGTCACCATGGTGGCTAGGAACTGGGTCCTAGCGCCTGGGCTTCCAACTCTCCTGGGATTTGATGTAAGTCTTGGAGTAGAGCCGAGTGGCAGAACAGGTTCCAGTAACTTAATTGGCAGGGGTGCGCTAGCATGGGCACTGGTTGCCTTTGCCCTGCTGTTTGTGCAGGGTGTGTGTGTGTTGGTAATCCAGCCTCTGTGTTGCAGTCAACATTTTACTGCCTGTCACAGTAAGTTACTGTGACAAGCAGCCAGTGGGGAGCTATTTGCTGCAAAAGAGACTGTGTGTATTATTACACCCTGCACAAGCAGCAGGGCAGAGGCAACCAGTGACCATGAAACCCATTGCACATAATAGGACTGAAGCCACTTCCTCCTCAGCTCTGATGTTTTCCTGTACACAGGTGGAGCTGGGGAGGAGAAACCATATTCTACTTGTCCTGTGGGGTGGGAGCAGAACATAACTTGGGAGGGTAGTGGACTTTTGCTCGGGAGTCGGATATGTACTGGGGGGGGGTGCTTTGGGAAGGGAGAGGAACTCCCCAGCACTTATCTGATCCCCACATTCTATCACCTCCTTTACCTCCCATAGCAACCTCCTAGCTGTACTTGAAGCATGGCTTCTTGTTTACCCATGCCCCTAAAGACCCTCCCAGTGTAAAGTTTGGCAACACAAATGAAAAACTAACTTTTTTTTTTTTTTTTTTTTTTTTTTTTTTTTTCTTAGCTGGCTCCTAGATTTACAGCAAATTTTTCAAGCCCTGCCTAAAATATTTACTCTTCTATGTTTGGTCTAGCTCCAAAGTCTCCTTTGGAAAAGACTCGTTATGACACTTCACTTGGGCTGTTGACAAAGAAGTTCATTCAGCTGCTCAGCCAGTCCTCGGATGGAGTTGTGGACCTTAACAGAGCTGCGGAAGTCCTTAAAGTGCAGAAAAGAAGAATTTATGACATTACAAATGTATTAGAAGGCATTCATCTCATAAAGAAGAAATCAAAGAACAATATTCAGTGGATGTAAGTATTCGTGGTAATGCAGTCTGAAAATAAGACAAGTTTGCGTTCCATTCTCCTATAACAGCTTAAGGGCTGCTTCACACAAACAGCTGTGCTGATTGCATGACAGCCAGAGTCTTTGAAGCCCCTATTTGGGGCCTTCATCCTACATTTACAGGCCTGTTCCTAACACCCCTATCTGGGCAGAATGTGTCCTGGAGAGGTAGTAGAGAACCTGAAGACCCTGTGGGGTGTGCCCGCTGTGATAGGTGACATTTGGGCCTTCTAGGTCCTGTAGCGTTGACTGGTATGCATCTGTTGGGAGCCATCCCTCCCACCCTCTGTAATTCCTTTTGTGGTGGCTGAGAGAACAGGATGGCATCAGGACATGTATTTTCCCCTTATGACTGTATCAGTGTTTAAAAGGGGCTGGTCAGTCAGCCATTTTGTGTCCCACTTACTTTAAAAGGGACTTCTGCCCACCCTGCTCGACAGCTTTCACAACCACTAACCGAGCTGACTTCTGTCAGGGCAGGTGTATTTTTGGGGGGGGTTGCCACTTTAGTGTTTTGGCATAGGCCAACACTCCTCTTAGCTGTGTGGCCGCTTCCCGCATGGTTACAGGCCTATAATCCCGTAGCAAGCCATGGTCTCTTGTGAGGTGTTGGGGTAACATTGTGGGCTCTGAGATTGCTGCATCAGGTAGGGAGGTTCCCCTGCAAATTTTGCCTTGTAGTGGAGCCCACCTGGGAACTACAAGGAGAGCACCTTGAGAGACTGCCCTTTTGAGGATGGACACTTATTTGGAACAACCTTGGATGTCTACATTCAGAAGAGGAAGAGAGCTGTTGCCTCATGGAAGCAAAAAGTTAAAGATCTGAATCCAGTAATGCCTTCAGATTCTGAGGCGTTTTTTTTCCGTGAAGCAACCCAATATCACAACTGGAAACCCAAACCCTCCAGTCCTCAAGGAAAGTCCTTTCTTCATTGCTTAAGGGCCTTTGTGACCACCTGGTGTCTTGCGTGTACAAGCTGGAATTTCTCCTTTTATGCTATGCATTGTATTGGTCAGATATTCTTCCTTTATGGTCACTTTAACAGTTGGGCTATTGAATCCCAGGTCCTGAGAGACTGGGAGTTTACACGTTGATTCCTACCCTTAGAGCTAGAAAGTACCTTACAGAAAGTGTACCATTGTACTTGGAAGGCTTATTTCATTTGCACTTTCAGCTGTAGTTTGTGTGGCAAATTCAATCTTTTTTTTCTTGTCTGGTCTGAAGATGTCCTTAGCTTTGAGTACCATTTTTAAGGGACAAATCTCAGACTTGTCTATGGTTTTTGTTTTTTTTCCCTCTTCAGAGACCTATTACATCTCATTCTGTGGTCAAAGCTTTTGTTTAGGTATCGCTTAGATTGTTGTTCCTGTGTGACTCCCCCCTCAATCTCCATGGTACCTTAACTTGGTTGTCTGTTTTGCGTAGTTCTACCTGTTAGATAACCGTGCCATTTTTTTTACTCGCAGGATTGCCTTTTTGATGGCCAGTATCTTGCAGGGTATAGGAGTTGGCTATGCTTTTCTGCAAGGTGCTTTTGCTGGCTCTCTACATTTTTGACTAATGCCTTCATTTCACCTGGATTGGGACATTGTGTTGCCATTTCTCCCCCCCCCCCCCCCCCCCACACTTGTAAATGTCCAAAAGAGGTGGTACTTCACACTTTGGATGTGTGGGTTGTTCATTTATCTGAGGTCTACAGCTTTGCTTCGACAAAAAGGTCCTACCTGATCCTTAGGTCCCTAAAGGACCTTGTAAGGATCATCAGGAAGCTTTGTTTGTCTTGGGGTTTGTGTCTTTTCTCAGGGCTATGGGAAGAAGCTGCTCTCCTTTCTTGGGGAAAGGCTCATTCCACTAGGAGTGTCAGTGCTTCCTAGACCATTAAGCTTTGCTCAAGTTTGTGAGGCTGCTACTTGGTCTTCCCTTCACATGTTTATGAAGTTTTATGAGGTTGGTGATTTTTGCGTCTGCAGATGCTGGTTTTGGACAAATGGTCATGCATGCGGCTTTATAAGCAGTTTCCTCTCTTCCATTGGGAATTTGGGCTGCTTGTGTTGTCTCCCCTCAGGCTGATTTTTCCTTTGGGATGTTCATGTAGCAGTGCATATTAACTCCTCTGTCTTATGTACTTCTAAGAAATTAGGATTTTTGGTTTACCTGTAAAATTCTTGAGATGCTTGGGGTACATCATGCTAAGAAAGTGAGGCTTAGCTTTCTCCCAAACCATTTTTTTTTTTTTTTTTTGACTTCTTATAGTCTGTGCCAGTAGTCAAGCAGATGGCGTTAAAGAATGAAGATGCTGGGTATTGGTTTGGTAGAGGTAAAAATGTAACTGTTCTTATGGAATTGTACTTTTTAGGGGCTGCACTCTGCCTGACGATGGATGCAACATGGCACGGTGTCAAGGACTATCCAAGGAACTGTCGGAACTGAGTCAGGAAGAGGCTAAACTAGATGAGTTAATAAAGAGCTGTACCCTAGACTTGAAACTTCTAACTGAGGATTCAGAGAACCAAAGATATCCTTTTGTGTGTGTGGTTTTGTTTTCCTGGGGTGTGTTGTGTGGTTTTTTGTTTGTTTTTTTCCCCCCACCCCAACTTGTGCGGTAATTGCAAATGTTCTAAACTAGCGCTGAAGTAACATGTAAATCTTATGTAGTGTGACTTTACCTGTTGAAATGTTGCCCAGAGTTGACTAGTCTTGCATCTGTTCTTTGGGACAAACCATGTCTGTCAATATTGGCAATAAAGCTGTATTAAACCCAAAAGCAAACCTTACATCATGACTGAATAATTTTTTTTTTGGCAGTAGAAATGCTTAATGCTAGGTGCGTCAGCCACTTGAGCGTTTATTCGTTTCAGTGGCCAGAGTTCTTGCCAATGCAGTGAGTTAATGCCCAAGTGCTTGACTCCTCTAAATGTGTTTTCCATGTGTCCAGTGTTGGCAAAATCATGGCTGACATGAGGAAAGATATTTTTAGGTGAGGTTAACGAACGCTTTGTGTGCATGGGGCCTTGGGCTTTCTCTTTTGATTGGGTGATTCTGATCCTACCAGTAAGTCTGTTTTTCAGCAGAACAAGTTGTCCCGCAGATGTAGCAGAGGGGTGAGACAAATAATTTAGCACTCGGGAGCTTTCAATGGTCAGCTTTTATGTAAAACCATTATCCCAGGTGTGTTTTAAACTTTTTCAAAAACTACTTGTCCAAGGGACTAAATCTGTGTCCCAGTCTACTTGTCCCTCATGACAATCTACTTGTCCAGATTAAAAAAAAAATTATATAAAATTTAACCAAAACCGTATTTTAATTTGGAGGTGAAGATTCCACAAAACCCCCCCAAGCATATTTTCTGAAATCAGAGACCCTAGAGAATAAAAGTGGTAGTTCCAATTTTTTATGTCCCATGATATTAACGCAAAATTTCAGATAAAAATAAGTTCATTTTAGGGCACAAAAAAAGCAACAAATTGCCCTATTTATTGGGAAAATATAAAAGGCGAGGTTGTACCTAGTAAATAGTTATCCAACATGTCAAATCTTAAATTTGCGTGTGCTCATGAAATGGCGACGAACTTCAGCACCCTATATTTTCTATAGGTGATGCTTTAAAAGCCCTTTCTAGGTAATCGGTATAGTTTTACAGAGGAGGTCTGGTGGTAGAATTATTGCTCTCATTCTGGCATGCGTGGCGATATGTAACGTGTATTGCAATCGACATTTTCATGCGTAGGTGCCCTACCATGTGCTTTTACGTTGGCACATGCGTATATGGGGGGGGGGGGGGGGGGGGGGGGGGGTAGAGATGTGCTTTGGTGTGACTTTCATTTTATTGTAATTAAAAAAAAAAAAAAATCACATAGGGAACAATGTCCCCATGTGTGATGATTTATTTTTTTTTTTTTTTTTGACAGGTTCTCGGAGATCTCCAAGGTCTAAAAGACCCTGGATGTCTCCCCTCTGCTCTCCTTAATGTAATGCAGTGCACATCACACTGCATTACGTTTCTTTCCCGGTCTCATTGTCCGGGAATCTCTCAGCGGGGACCGGAAGTGACATCAAGTCACTTCCGGGTCCGGACAAAAATGGGAGCGGAGCGGACATGTCCATTCCCCTCCCTCTCCTCTAGTCAACGGTGGTGAGCTGGTCCTGGGCCCGCAGATGGGCAAGCAGAGCCCAGGAAACAGTGGGTGGGTACTGTGACGCATTCAGGCAGTAGCACTGCTGCCTGAATACTACCACCTGACAGGTGAGCACTGCTGCTTGCCCCCGCAGGGCTGAAGATAAAAAAAAAAAAAAAAAAAAAACTACCTGCCTGGCACCCGGATCTGCATGTCCTGGACGTTGGCCGATAGAAATTCAAAATCCCTGTATCCCAGAAGGAAAAAAAACTTGTAACTGTTTGTAAAATGTTTGTATTTAATTTGTTAGTGTATTTTACGTTATCTGCTAGCACATCCAACACTCCCCTCTCAGAGAATAATGTCGCTGTCCAAAGGCGTCTTTGGGCTCCTTCAACCGGAGCAGGGGTCTCACATTTCTAAACAAAGGGCCAGTTTACAGTCCAGACTTTAAAGGTGCCGGACTGTGGCCAGTAGGAATAAATCCTTCTGGCATCAGTGGGAGTAAACCGTGCCTCATATTTAGTATCTTGAGGAGGTATAGTGCCCCATTGCTGATGTCAGTGGCAAGAATTATGTCCTATTGTCGGTGGGCGGAATAGTGTCTCGTTTCAGTGGGATGAATAGTGCCCCAAGGGCTGGATAAAGGAAAGTAAAACTCACATCTTGGCCCCTGGGCTGCAGTTTGGAGACCACTGATCCAGAGTGCAGGCATTCATAAGTGGGCAACACAGTGGCTAAATGGTTAGCACTTCCTCCTGGCAGCACTAGGCTCATCTGTTCCAAGCCCAACAATGGCACTACTTGCACAGTTTGTATGTTCTCCCTGTTCCTGTGTAGGTTTCCTCTGGTTACTGAGTTTCCTCCCATACTCCAAACCGTTTTATTGGCTCCTGTCTTAACTGGCCATAGTATGTGTATATATGAAAGGAAGTTGGATCTTAAATTGTAAGCCCCTTGAGGGCAAGGACTGATGTGAATGTACAATGCATATATAAAGTGCTGTGTAAATTGATGGCACTTTACAAGTATCTGGAAAAAAAAAAAAAAACAGGTGTTACTGAGGATTGGCCCTGGGATTGGCACTAGAGCACTGGTTTACTGCACTAACAGAAGGTGGGATCTCAAAGCTGAGACTGCTGGCCACAAGGTTGGACAGACAGAACTGGAATTCCTTTTTGCAGATAAACTTTTTTTCTAATGTATGTATTGCAGATGTATATTTAACTGTGGTTCAGATTTGATGTAATCCATATTTAGTGCAGTTTATTTTTTTTTTTTTTACACATTTGCATGAAGGAAATCCATGGCCATAAAGTACACTTTCATTTTATAACATCAGCATTGTAAGAGTAATACAAACCAGTTACAAGTTATTGACAATCCAATATAAGATATGCAAAATCTTCTTTTGTGTTAAGTGCTGCCTGTCTACTGGCCATCTGTTTCCACTACTTCCTGGATTCTCTGCATTTTTTGCTGCTTCTTTAGTTTACTTTCACTTATGGACTACATATCCTATGGTACCTTGCTGCCTGTAAGAAAATGTCCTGTATGGACTCCACCTCCTGAAATTCCTCTTAAGCCCCTCTGTAGTTCAAAAGGCAGGCTCTGTGTATTCTGTGACACAAGTGTCTACTTGCAGTGAATAGTTTAAAAGGAGCAAGCTAGAAATGAAGTACTATGTGGAAACAAGTGTGGTTTGTGATTTTGAGCATTTACTGTTTTCCTTAACCTATTTTTACGTTGGCCTATGTAACCTATCAAGATATAAGGAAAATTAGTGGCCTTAAGGATCAAACCGTTATTGTTGTCAGAGCTCCCCCTGAAACTAGACTTGAAGTGCCTGATCCTGTTGAGGTAAGTGTCACCTAGATGCATCAGTGATTAATGGAATGGTTATCTGAAAATGTATCCCTGTGTATAGGAGAAACTTATTGTGATTTTTATTTTTTAAGGCTCATTTTATTTATAAAAAAAAAAAAAAGCGAACATGTCGTCATGCTTACCTGCTCCGTGGAATGGTTTTGCACAGAACAGTCCTGATCCTCCTGTTGTGGGATCCCCCACTGGCACTCCAGCCCCTACTCCAGGGACAAGTTTTCTTGCTGCCAAATATATCCCACTGACTTTCATATGCCATTATAACAAATAAGATATTTTATCTCAGTATTGAACATACTGATATTTTATCTAAAATATACTGAAATGAGTAATTTTTTCCCAAAAGTCATCCAAGAGTTACAGATACAGCAGTAAAGTGGAAACTGTTATGGTGGAAATAAGGGGCTGTTATTGCTGACCTCACTTTAAATGCTATTTGACTAGAGCTACAAATGGTGACATGACAGGTCCCAGAAGACGCCGGGCCATTCACAAAGCACAGCACTTCTCGTGCATGCGCAGTGGGCACACGACTGTCAGCCGGGTGCCCACACTAAAGTGAGGACAACTCCGCAGAAGTGGGAGCAGGTACCTGCTTTCCCTCCCTCCCAAAAGGTCCGCAGTCTGGTCATCTCCTGTACTGGGTCTGCAGGCTCTTGGTCATCTCCTGTGCTGGGTCTGCAGGCTCTTGGTCATCTCCTGTGCTGGGTCTGCAGGCTCTTGGTCATCTCCTGTGCTGGGTCTGCAGGCTCTTGGTCATCTCCTGTGCTGGGTCTGCAGGCTCTTGGTCATCTCCTGTGCTGCAGGCTCTTGGTCATCTCCAGGCTCTTGGTCATCTCCTGTGCTGGGTCTGCAGGCTCTTGGTCATCTCCTGTGCTGGGTCTGCAGGCTCTTGGTCATCTCCTGTGCTGGGTCTGCAGGCTCTTGGTCATCTCCTGTGCTGGGTCTGCAGGCTCTTGGTCATCTCCTGTGCTGGGTCTGCAGGCTCTTGGTCATCTCCTGTACTGGGTCTGCAGGCTCTTGGTCATCTCCTGTACTGGGTCTGCAGGCTCTTGGTCATCTCCTGTACTGGGTCTGCAGGGTCTGTACTGGGTCTGCAGGCTCTTGGTCATCTCCTGTACTGGGTCTGCAGGCTCTTGGTCATCTCCTGTACTGGGTCTGCAGGCTCTTGGTCATCTCCTGTACTGGGTCTGCAGGCTCTTGGTCATCTCCTGTACTGGGTCTGCAGGCTCTTGGTCATCTCCTGTACTGGGTCTGCAGGCTCTTGGTCATCTCCTGTACTGGGTCTGCAGGCTCTTGGTCATCTCCTGTACTGGGTCTGCAGGCTCTTGGTCTGCAGGCTCTTGGTCATCTCCTGTACTGGGAGGGGTCTGCAGGCTCTTGGTCATCTCCACTGGGTCTGCAGGCTCTTGGTCATCTCCTGTACTGGGTCTGCAGGCTCTTGGTCATCTCCTGTACTGGGTCTGCAGGCTCTTGGTCATCTCCTGTACTGGGTCTGCAGGCTCTTGGTCATCTCCTGTACTGGGTCTGCAGGCTCTTGGTCATCTCCTGTACTGGGTCTGCAGGCTCTTGGTCATCTCCTGTACTGGGTCTGCAGGCTCTTGGTCATCTCTGTACTGGGTCTGCAGGCTCTTGGTCATCTCCTGTACTGGGTCTGCAGGCTCTTCACTGGCTGTGTCCTGGAAAAAAACAAGTACTGGAAGTCAAGTTAACGGGGAACACAGGAAACTTGAAAAAAAATATTTTATTTTTTTATTTTATTGTCTTGGTCCCAAAGTTTCACTCAATTGGTACATTCCATTAGAGCAGTGGTTCTCAACCTTTCTAATGCCGCGACCCCTTAATACAGTTCCTCATGTTGTGGTGACCCCCAACCATAAAATTATTTTCATTGCTACTTCATAACTGTAATTTTGCAGTGGGAGGAGTAGTGCCATGTCATTGGTGTCAGTGGAAGGAGTAGTGCCCCATCACTGATGTCAGTGGGATGAAGAGTGCCCCATCGTTGGTATCAGTGGGAGGAATAGTGCCCCATCGTTGGTATCAGTGGGAGGAATAGTGCCCCATCGTTGGTATCAGTGGGAGGAATAGTGCCCCATCGTTGGTATCAGTGGGAGGAATAGTGCCCCATCGTTGGTATCAGTGGGAGGAATAGTGCCCCATCGTTGGTATCAGTGGGAGGAATAGTGCCCCATTACTGGTGTCAGTGGGGGGAGGAATAGTGCCCCATCACTGATGTCAGTGGGATGCATAGTGCCCCATCGTTGGTATCAGTGGGAGGAATAGTGCCCCATCGTTGGTGTCAGTGGGGGGAGAATAGTGCCCCATCGTTGGTGTCAGTGGGGGGAGTAGTGCCCCATCGTTGGTGTCAGGGGGGGGAGGAATAGTGCCCCATCGTTGGGTCAGTGGGGGGAGTAGTGCCCCATCGTTGGTGTCAGTGGGGGGAGTAGTGCCCCATCGTTGGTGTCAGTGGGGGGAGTAGTGCCCCATCGTTGGTGTCAGTGGGGGGGAGTAGTGCCCCATCGTTGGTGTCAGTGGGGGGAGTAGTGCCCCATCGTTGGTGTCAGTGGGGGGAGTAGTGCCCCATCGTTGGTGTCAGTGGGGGGAGTAGTGCCCCATCGTTGGTGTCAGTGGGGGGGAGTAGTGCCCCATCGTTGGTGTCAGTGGGGGGAGTAGTGCCCCATCGTTGGTGTCAGTGGGGGGAGTAGTGCCCCATCGTTGGTGTCAGTGGGGGGAGGAGTAGTGCCCCATCGTTGGTGTCAGGGGGGGGGGAGTGCCCCATCGTTGGTGTCAGTGGGGGAGAGAATAGTGCCCCATCGTTGGTGTCAGAGGGGGAATAGTGCCCCATCGTTGGTGTCAGTGGGGGAAGTGTAGTCCCCATCGTTGGTGTCAGGGGGGGGAGGAATAGTGCCCCATCGTTGGTGTCAGGGTGGGGGGAGTAGTGCCCCATCGTTGGTGTCAGTGGGGGGGGGAGGAATAGTGCCCCATCGTTGGTGTCAGGGGGGGGGGGAATAGTGCCCCATCGTTGGTGTCATCGTTGGTGTCAGGGGGGGGAGGAATAGTGCCCCATCGTTGGTGTCAGTGTGGTGGAGGGGAGAATAGTGCCCCATCGTTGGTGTCAGTGGTGGAGTGGGGGAGAGAATAGTGCCCCATCGTTGGTGTCAGTGTGGTGGAGGGGAGAATAGTGCCCCATCGTTGGTGTCAGTGTGGTGGAGGGGAATAGAATAGGAATAGTGCCCCATCGTTGGTGTCAGTGTGGGGGGAGAGAATAGTGCCCCATCGTTGGTGTCAGTGGGGGGAGAATAGTGCCCCATCGTTGGTGTCAGTGGGGGGAGGAATAGTGCCCCATCGTTGGTGTCAGTGGGGGGAGGAATAGTGCCCCATCGTTGGTGTCAGTGGGGGGAGATAGTGCCCCATCGTTGGTGTCAGGGGGGGGAGTGGGGGGAGGAATAGTGCCCCATCGTTGGTGTCAGTGGGGGGAGGAATAGTGCCCCATCGTTGGTGTCAGTGGGGGGAGGAATAGTAGTGCCCCATCGTTGGTGTCAGTGGGGGGAGGAATAGTGCCCCATCGTTGGTGTCAGTCAGGGGGGGGAGGAATAGTGCCCCATCGTTGGTGTCAGTGGGGGGAGGAATAGTGCCCCATCGTTGGTGTCAGTGGGAGGGGGGGAGGAATAGTGCCCCATCGTTGGTGTCAGTGGGGGGAGGAATAGTGCCCCATCGTTGGTGTCAGTGGGGGGCCCCATCGTTGGGTCAATAGTGCCCCATCGTTGGTATTAGTGACACAAATGATGGGGCACTATTTCTCCCACTGACACCAATGATACTTACTTTGCTGACCCCTGCTCCAGCCTGGGCTCGCTCTCTCACTTACCTGTCAGCTGTCTTCCTTCTCTGGCCGCTCTCCTCTTCACTCGCTCCGGCAGCTCCCTCGGTCTTTGATGTACGCGCGCTGCCGCTCGGCTCCTCCTCTCCAAGCTCCACCTCCTCGCCGGTGATTGGCCGCCTGTGTGCCTCTCCTGAGCTACAGTTCCGGTGGCCAATCAGCGGCGAGGAGGCGGAGCTGCTGAGCGATCCCGGAGGTGTGGCCAGGTGACAGCAGCGTATCATCCCGCCCACACATCGCCGGAGACTGCAGCGGTGTCTCGGTTCCTAAGACCATCGGAAATATGTGTTTTCCGATGGTCTTAGGCGACCCCTGGGAAATGGTCGTTCGACCCCCAAAGGGGTCGCGACCCCCAGGTTGAGAACCGCTGCATTAGAGGAACACTTAGTAAAGACATCAGATCTCAATGGGGAAAAATATCATGCTGGATATTTATACTGATTTGAACTGGGTAATGTGTTGGGAACAGAAGGATGCTTCATTGTTTGAATTCAGTCCTTGTAGGTTGAGAATTCTCATTTCCATCAGACACCCTGAAAATCAAAGCAAAAAAATTATGCAGCAGGCTAGTCCATTTTGCTGAAATTTCATTGCAGCAACTCAAAATGGTACTCAGTAGTTTGTATGGCCCCCACGTGCTTGTATGCATGCCGGACAATGGGGCATGCTCCTAATGGGATGGTATCCTGGGGTATTTCCTCCCAGATCTGGACCAGGGCATCACTGAGTGCTTGGACAGTCTGAGGTGCAACCTGGCTGCGTCAGATGGACCGAAACATTATATCCCAGAGGTGTTTTATTGGATTTAGGTCAGGTGTGTGTGGGGACCATTCAATGGTATAAATTCCTTCATCCTCCAGGAACTGCCTGCTTATTCTTGTCACATGAGGCTGGGCATTGTCGTGTACCAGGAGGAACCCAGGACACACTGCACCAGTGTAGGGTCTGACAATGGGTCCAGGGATTTCATCCACTATGCCTAATGGCAGTCAGGGTACCGTTGTCTAGCCCATAGAGGTCTGTGTCCCTCCATGGATATGCCTCCCCAGACCATCACTGACCCACCACCAAAAGCAGTCATGCTGAACGATTGTACAGGCAGTATAACATTCTCCATACCCTTTCATATCCGTCACATATGTTCAAGGTGAACCTCCATCTGTGATAAGCACGGGGTGCCAGTGGCGGACCTTCCAAGTCTGGTGTTCAATGGCAAATGACAATTGAGCTCTGTTGCTAGGCAGTGAGCACAGATCCCACTAAAGGATGTCGGGCATTAAGGCCACCCTCATGAAGTCTGTTTCTTATTTGGTCAGAGACATTCACACCATTGGCCTGCTGGAGGTCATTTCGTAGGGCTCTGGCAGTGCTCATCTTGTTCCTCCCTGCACAAAAGAGCAGATACTGTTCCTTTTGAAGGGTTAAGGACCACCTACTGCCCTGTCCAGCTCTCCTAGAGTAACTGCCTGTCTCTTGGAATATCCTTTATGCTCTTGACTGTGTTGGGAGCAAACCTGGCAATGGCAAGTATTGATGTGTCATCCTGGAGGAGTTGGACTACCTGTGCAACCTCTGTAGGGTCCACCTCTGCAGAGCAGTGTGCAGGAGAGATCTGTTTTTATACACCGGTCTTTCCCCCATCCGAGATACTTGGCTATCACCGGGTGCTGATGAGAAATCACCGGCCAGGATGTGGTGATTGACAGCCGAGTCCACAAATGGCGGCACTGGTAGGGTGCATGTGCCCCCTACCTGGAAATGTCAAACTACTGTACTAGTGCTAGAATTTACTGCTCTTCTTAAGTCTCGCATGTAGTTTGAACACCGTTTACATGTGGCCATGGCCTGCGTATGCATTCACCACTACGTGTCAGTACAGGGGCACTTTACTGGAGGCTGTCTTTCCTTTACCAATCTCTATGCCCAGCGCCAGGATCGTTCGATGGTCTCTCAGGTAAGGCTGAGAACTACTGAGGGGTGGCAAAGGGGCAGGGTTTTCGGCACCTGTTTCGGTGCTTCCCCCCCATATCAGCCGATAGGGGTGTTTTCGCCCACTGAGTTCCCGGTACACCCCTAACTGAATGATCCTGGTGCTGGGCATAGACATAAGTGAAGGAAAGATGGCCTCCACTCGTCTCTATGCCCTGGACTGGAGCGATGTCACTTCCGGTTTCGGCGCCTTGTAAACGAGCTGTTTTTTTTTTTTTTGTTTTTTGTTTTTTAATCTGATGCTTTACATTGTAGAGGAGAGATGTGGGGTCTTATTGACCCCATAATCTTTCCGTAAAGAGGACCTGTCATTATTTAATTATTTCTATCACAAGGGTTGCATGCATTCCTTGTGATGGGAATAAAAGTGATTTTTTTTTTTTTTTTTTTTTACAGTGTACCTTTTTTTTAAAAAGTTTTAAAGTGCTAGCACGTATTGTTAAATGCATACGTAGGCCACGCCCACATGTAAACTGTGTTCAAACAACACGTGAGGTATCGCCACGAATGTCGGAGCAATAATTCTAGCGCTAGACCTCTAACTTTACACTGGTAACCTGTAGAAGTTTTTAAAGAGTCACTCATGGAGACTAAGTACAGTAGTTTGACGCCATTCAATGAGCGTGTGCAATTTTAAAGCATGACATGTTTGGTATCTATTTACGTCTTTCATATTTTACTAAGGTTTTTTTTTTTTTTTGGTTTTTTTAAAGTATATTACAAAAAATATATTCATTTCTAAAAACTGACCATTTCAGTTTTCGGCCAAGTGCATCCTGAATTTTTGGTTTAGGTGCACCACTAGTTGCATCACTTTAACACCTGCGAAACATGTTGTCCCTTTCATACCTGCATATCATGTAGTGTTTCCATATTTTTTTCCAACCCCTGGATGTTTGTTTTTTTGTTTGTTTTTGTCAGATGACTATTATGACTAACGATACCTAATTTTTGAAAAAATTGTCATTTTGTGTTTTTTACCTTAGAGTTTACAAATACACTTGTCCAGCACCCAAGGAGCAATTGAAGTGTATTTATGCCCTGAAGAAAGTGAATCAAATAGTCCAGTGAAGCAAAGCCATCCGGATCTAAATGGGAATATCTCAAAACCAAACTCCAAAGGTATGTGTATTATCTTCTGTTGGGATCTTTGAGGCTGCCATGTAGCTGTAACTGTCTGGTACTAATTATTTTTTTTTTTTTTTTTTTTTTTTTTTCTCTCCCCTTTCCCTCCAGAATTACTATCACCGAACATAGAAAACTGCACAATGGAAGTGATTTCTCCTTTGACCTCTCCATCAAACCTTCTGCAGCAAACAGAAGATCAAATACCTTTAAGCCTTGACAACCCTTTTGTGAACTTGCTCCCTCCCCTTATGCACGAGGATTATTTACTAAGTCTTGGAGAAGAGGAGGGCATCAGTGATCTTTTTGATGCGTATGAGCTAGAAAAAACTTCCGTCTCTTGAAGACTTCATGTGCAGTTGATTCGTATGATCCCAAGGCCATGGTTTTGTTCTGTATGAAGTTCAAATGGAATCCTATCAACTTGCTGGCGTTGTCTACTTGACACCTTATAAGCCTGTGTCTTTAAAGAAGGCATGAATTTAATGCAGCAATTGCTGCAAAAAGTGCAGTTATTTCATTCCATACTACTTGAGGCTATGCAAATTCACTGCATTAGAATGGTCTGCTGGGATTGCTAAAGGCACAAATGAGCAACTTGAATGGGTTTAGCTTTCTCAGTTCTTTTCCATTAATCGTACAGGGCCTTGGTGAAATCAGTCTGTGCCTTCCTGTACGATACCTTCTCCCCAATTCTTGTGGAGAAACTCCACAATAAATATGAACTGTAATTTTGCATATATATTGTGTGCATTTTTATTTATGGTTGTATGTGAGCATTCTAAAACTGCCCAAAGTTGAATTACATGTTGCATGTTACACAAATGTGCATTTTATCTTGTACACTTCTTTCTTCCGTTCTCAAGCCACACGAGTTGTCATCTTGCCTTATAACCTACTTTGCTTGCTCAGAACCTGGAGAATTGAAGTGCCTGTGAAACCTTCTGCGCATGCAGGATTTCTCAACATACACACTTAAGTCTTTTTAAACATCCTTTGTTTTAGGATGGGTGTTCTAACTTGAGTAACTGTTTCTGTACATTTTTATGCTGAGACTCTCATGCATTTTGTTTTAACATAAGCCTTTCACTGCTAAATAATGAGTGACCCTGCAAAAGAGAAATGCTTCTATAGCAGGTGCTGATTCCTAAATTCACTCTCTCGCTTGGCCATCAAAGCCTTTTTAGCATCAAACACCTTCAGGTGTGATGACTGGTTTGACAGAGTTCTTATCTTGGTGGGGATAGATTAGGCATCTTTACACCTGGAAGTGTGTGCAAAGATGCTGAGGTCTGCAAGTGTTTAGATGGGTGTTCCTGACTGTAGGAATAATATGTATCAGATTTTGTAGAGTGCATTTTTTAAAGATTGTGTTGCTCATAACCTTACCTGTTGATTTCTTTTAGTTAAGAGTCTCAGGACCTTGCAAACAAGGAATTTATAACCCTTGTTCTGGGTCTTTTGCCAGCTATCCTTAAAGTGGAGCTCCACCCAAAGGGGGTCATTCTGCTTTTAGTACTGGTCCTCTGCTCCTGGTGAGGAATTGGCACCTTTTGGGGAGCGGGTACCACGTTTTGACAGGTACCCACTTCCATTGCGATAGCCTAGGCAATTGGGAGCAGAACTTGTCCTCCCCAAATCCCATCCCTCCCCCTAGTCTTCTGAGACACGTGACAGGTCCCAGAAGACCAGGGGCCATTCACAAGGTGCAGCGCTACTTGCACATGTGCAGTGGGCACCCAGCTATTTAGCTGCACGCAGGGTGGTCACACTTAGGATGCTGGGGAGCAAGGATTGCTGGTGAAGGGGACTGCGGTGAGTACACTGCCTGATCGTGGGACAGGTCAGTGGCTTTTTTTTTTTTTTTTGTAGTTTCTGACTTACATTTTGTAGGTTTGACTGGAGCTCTGCTTTAGTAATTTGCACCATCTAAGTCCCTGTGTATATGGGTGTCAATACTGGGAGCCTGGCTTCTTATCTTGCTGCCTGCCAAGTATCTCCTGGGTCGAGAGGCTAAATACACATTAGTGCTATGGTGGAGCATCTGCTTTAAGTAATATGTGGGCTGTAGTGTTTTTTACTAAGGCGCTGTCTGCCATGTTTCATGCAAAAGCCTGAGTTGACATGGAAAATATAAACATAACTCTGAACCAGGTGCTCTGTCATGCTATAGCTATGTATTGCACTTTTGTTGAATGCTTCCTCCAAGCTCAGTAAAAAGCAGAGATGACATTTCTCCTATCAGGGCTCATGTTAGATTTGGGCTCTCCCTTCCAGTGTGGTCTTGTGTAAGTCAAGAGTTGATAGGACATGTAAAATGCCTTTCCGTATTTAGACTGTTCAATTAACATCTGCAGGCTGTAGTGAATGCCCTACTGTTTAAATCCAGCAAAGTGAATTTAACAGAATAAAGATTTTTTCATAAAGTGGTTTTAAAACTGTAAAACTTGAACAAAACTTTTCTTGCCAGGCTTGTTTAGGAGCACTGCAGCATATCTGTGCATGAAGTTAATTGCAAGTACCATCAAGGCTAGTGTCTCCTTCAAACTACCCAACCTAACCATACTTGCCTACAGTGCCTGGTAAAGTGTGTTGGTATGAGAATAAAGGTGCCAAAGGTTTACATTTAACAAGGAGGTAGTTTTTAGAGAGGGTGATTCTTGTATTTGATATATCAGTGCCCTCTACCATTTTTTTTTTTTTTTTTTTTTTTTTTTTTTTTTTTGTTTCAGATCCATCTATTTGGTTGCTTTGAATTGGTTGCTAATTTTGTATTTGTTTATACAAGTCTTGGATGTTAAATTAACTCAATGCTTATCTGCTAATGGAGTTTGGCTCTAAATGTTTCCCCTTTAAGAATATGTAAAGCTTTTATGTATGTGGGGAAATCCACCATGGTACAGGCTATCTTCTTGAAGTATTTATTATAAGTCTGATACCATTCAAGCTGCTACCTGGTCTTTTTATGGGAAAAAATTTGCATTAATTGGCAGTTATTTTTTTCAAAATATAGTGGAGTGTTAACAGTGTTAAAGTGTGTGCGTTTAAATGTGTTGGCGTTTTATTATTATTATAACCTTGTACTTTCAAGTCTGTTTTGGACTGGAAATCTACATAAGACTAGAAAAAGCTTTTGGTTTTGTTCATTTTTTTTTAAATTAAGTTTAATGTTATTTAACATGGTTTGTGTGAGCTTGTGACTTTTTGTTTTTTTATTATATTCCCTTTTTGGTGAGGGTATTTGTGTCCATTCTTATGCCTTTTTTAGACCTTTTGTGAGACTTTCCCCTAAAAGTATGAATCATTGGAATATAAAATGATTGTGCTTTTGTGGTTTGTAGACTGTAAAGTAATGTAAAAAAAACTATTAAATGCTATTTGTAAATAGAAAATACAGGATAACCTGTAATTTAGCAGTTTTGCCCTTAAAGTACATTTTGTAAAGTAATCAATAAATGATTTTTCTAATATTTGTAAGCTGTGTAACTGGTGGTAATGTGGTGGGTGTTTATAATGTGTGTAGTCTTCAGTACAGGTGAGTTTATTTTTTTTTTTTGTACATAGTTATTCCTTTTATTTCAGTACATTATCATTTTGCTTACCAAGCCAAAGTGCTTGCTGACATTGTGTACAGCAAACCATGGCACACTGGCATGTTGAAGCCCCTGCTTAAACAGTTTTCGTTCGTGTGTCCATATTGAGATTTTTCCCACTTCTCTTATGATCTATTTAAAGGTTCACAAACCTAAGGGGAGTGATCCTGCGGGCCTTTCCAGTTCACAATCCACAAACCACTTCGTGTCCCTCCTAAAGATTTTTATGCTGATAGGCCTGTCCTTGTTAGAATCCTTCCCCCCCCCCCCCCCCCCCCCCCCCCCCCCCCCCCCCCCCCCCCCCCCCCCCCCCCCCCCCCCCCCACCAAAGCTGGCCATTCGTGGATCGAAATTTGATCTATTGAACAACTTCTGAACTATTCTGCTGGAATGTTTTCGCTCGGTCAGTGTTCCTACATCCTCTTTTTCTCTGATTTGACTTCACCACTCAACTGACTGCAATCTGTCTATTATTTATTTATTTTTTTTTTTTTTGAGGAATTTAATATTTTGTTGACCTGTTTTTCCCATGTTTAACCACTTCCAGACCGGACACTTTTACCCCCTTCCTGTCCAGGCCAGTTTTCATCTTTCAGTGCTATCACATTTTGAATGATAATTGCGCGGTCATGCAACACTGTACCCATATGAATTTTTTAGCGTTTTTGTGAGACAGATAAAGCTTTATTTTGGGGGTATTTATTCACCATTGGGAATTTTTTTTGCTATGTAAATTAAGTCCAAAAATTTTGAAAAGTGTTTTTGTTATAAAATTTTGCAAATAGTATTTCATCATAAATCTTGGCCAAAATTTATTCCGTTATATTTTTAGTAAAAAAAAAAAACCAAATTCGTTTAACCAAAAATTATAATTTGTAAACACTTCTTCTTTTTTTTTTTTTTTTTTTTTCTTTTTTTTTTACACTGATTGCTTTTACACCCATAAAGGATGTAAAAGCAATCATTTCTCTTTCTCTCTGACTGCATTCTTGCAGCCATTGAGAAATACTAAGTGAACTGTGATTGGTCACAGCTTGTCACATGGTACAAGGCTGTTGTGAATAGCCTTGTATCATGTGACCTCTGTGATCATTCACGGATTTCACACGTAGTAAGCAATGATGTCTGATGTGACATCTTGCTTACTGCTCTGCATGTGATCACTGATTGGTCAATCAGTAATCACATGATTGGGACCTTGTACAGAGGTCCTATCTGACGATCGGTGTTCCACTGTGTCCGGAGGACTCCAGATCGTGGTGCTGTGCGCTCCCAGGGGGGCGCGCACAAGCAGGGTGCCGGGAGGCAGTTTATAAATGGCCACCCGACCCTGCACTGCCACCGTCTGGCCGTTTATATACAACGGCCGGACGGGAGGTGGTTAAGAATACCATTTTGGTCCTTATTGACATTGTGCGCACATGTCTTTGAGCAGGCTGTGTCAGTGTTTTCCAAGGTTAACAGCTTGGGTTCCATTATGGTTCTTCAACCTGTAAAGAGCCCATTTTTGTGCAGGGACTCTTAATTCTGGCAAGCAATTACTTTTCCCAAGGGTTTTGTTCAGCAATACCCCATCAGAGTTTGAGGCGAGCCATTACATTTTGCGGAACCAGCTATTTCTTGCCTTAAGTGATACTATTGGTTCCTGTCGAGGACATCTCTGTGTTTAAAGAGGAACTTCACCCATAAAAACTCAAGGTGCTACATTTCTCTACATTGGATGACTTAATTTTCATTTTTACTTTCTGAAA